CAAAATAGAAGTGAAAATGGTTTCCTGAATTGGAAAAGCCACAACAATAACAATAAAAAAACAGCCCTGCATTTTTATGGGTAAAGCGACAAAGTGTGTGTGTATTAAAGTTGAATCCCTCTATTTAATCTGAGCTTCTATTATGTCTGCATGTGCCCTCACCTTCAATGCTGTTGGGAATGTTCAGCCTTGGAGAGTAAAATATGGATTAATATTAATATGCTCATACTGTTTTGATACTGTTTGCAGTTACATGTTTTTGCAAGGTCCTTTGGAAAAATGCTTCCACTGAAAAGAAGGAACTGCCTATATCTCACCGTAAATTAAATGGAACACTGTTTTATGATCTGGGCTCGTGGAAAACACAGTACAAGCTGCAGAAGGATGTAGGGACGTACCGGTATCGGTTCCTTAAACGTGTTCTGAAATCAATTCATACTGAATTTATTCAGGCAGCGGCAATCTCTGAATGGATATATTTAATATGCACAATAAAATCCCATCGCAGGTGGCCGATAAGATATTCTGCTTCTGGTGATGTGTGCCATGTTTTATTTTTTCCTGGTTGACTGTGGGGAAAGTTAAGTTGACAGGATTTAAGCAGGTGAATCAAGAGCTCTTATCCTGGCACAGATGATGGACGTCACCTTCCTTTGCAGAAAATTGCAGAGCAGGTGGTTGCATCTGTAAATGCTTCTGTAAGGATCCCCTTCAAAATTTTAGCCCGGCACAAAGATATCACACCTGTGACTAAACACCTACTCAAAGTGGAACGGACACCAGTAAAACAGCCTATCTTCTTGCTACAGTAAGTTCTGGGCTTCATACAAGCCCTAAAAAAAAACTGCAATTCTTTATTGTACAGCTACCCAACCTGCATGTGCTAACTGGTTTAATAAGCACTCTGCTTTCTGGCACGAACCCTCTGCACCTGTAGGTGGACAAAGAGGGCCTGTAGACATGCTGCTCCAGCACACCCAAGCATGAGAGCCATTCATCTCTTGATGCAACGCAAGCTCTACAGTGCCTCACAGCACAATTAGCGCCAGCTGCAGAAGTGGTTCCTTTCTAACCATTCTGAACTCGTGGTAAAAGCGTACAGGCTTCCCCATTGGGGACCAAGGGTAGAACTAGACACCGAATCACTTATTGCACACCATCAAAAGGGACCCCTCGACCTGAAAAAAACCCCATGAGCCGCTGTTTCAGGACAGACTTTTTGACACTGTCCAGAGTGCTTGACATGTGGCGCTTGTCTTGCTGGTTCCTGCTGCAGCCTCACGCTTGTCTTCACTGGCTCTCACAGTGTCCAGCAAACCACCCACATGCCCGTGTCACACGTCGCTGTGCAGGACACCCAGACAGCACTGCTAGCATCCTTTTGTGTCTTACAGAATAGGTTCGAGTCCCGCACTGAATTCCTGTATCTTGGTACATGCAATGTTGTGGGAGGGGTGGTGCCCATTGTCAGGGAGGTACTGCTTCAAATGTCCGCGTTGTTTTTCATTTGCACCTTCCTGAAGTCTTTCCATCTTTCCATTCAGAAGGATACATACAGTGCAGAAGCATTTGTATTCCGTACAGGTCAAGAGGCCGAAGGCAGAGTTTGAGCCTGTGCAGGCTGAGCCCTTCAGGAGCCCATTAGACTGTTTTAATAGGAGGGCTGGTCTGAGGCCGTCTCCTTGGTGGTGCCTGGTGAATGTGAATTGATCTTCCGGCAGCTCTATTGTTTTGCTTGTTTGTGAGTTTTGCTTGACAGAACAGCCTCATGAAATTGCCTTTTTACACTACGGATGCTCCTGATTCTGCAGCAGAACTGTGCTGCAAGATTCAGTGTTGCTGGGTGATGAGTGATACATGAGACTGCTTGTGTGGGCGATTGTGTTTGTGGCAGATGCTGTCCTTGGTGAACAAGAAAGCTTCTGAATGAATGGAGACCCATTTGGCCCACACTGGCTCTCTGGCTGTTTGTCCCTTATTGATCTGACCCTGTCCAATCTTTTCCTGGGGGTCTCGGCAAATGAAAGTCTGATTATAGCTTAATAAATCGTTCATTATGTCCTGCTTTTCCTCTTGCATCCCCTTCCATTTCATTTTCCTGGTTGTGGTGTTGCTCCTGCTGTGAAATTTCACTATTTCCCTCAGGGGAAAATCCCAGTTAATTCTCCCCAAGAACCTTCCTGTTCCAGAGAAGGGAGGTTCAATTATTTTAGCCCGGTCAAGTCACTGTCCGTTAATCGTGTGGTTTTATGCTGTTCTCATTTTTCCTGCTTTTCACTTCCTAGTTTTCTGCCTTGGTTGCCCTATGTGAATCCCTTTGGTATGGCACTTTTCATTTGCGGTAGTTGAGGTTCATAATTTTGCACTTAAACACTTTTCAGCCTGAAGTGTTCTTTCCAAGAGTGTGAAGTTTTAAATTACCCATTCCCAATGTGGATATGAATGTTTTACTCAATGTGTTAAGTATGTTCAACATATTTAGTAAGATTCAGAACTCTCCAAAGGTCCTTCCTTGATGGTTATGCTGTGTTTTGGAGTTCACATTTGCTTTTCCACCTTCTGTGTTTTGGGGGTCTCCTCACTTATTATATCCCTTCAAAACGACTAGTTAGAGCCAGATTTGGCCCAGAAGCCCACTATTGGGGACGACAGGTCTATGATGTGTGGAAACCCAGGTTCATGCAGTTCTTCTCCATTTCGCATGTGGCACAACAGTATAGAGAAAGATCCCTGATTAAAATTCAACAGAGGAGTCTTGTATTTCCCCCATTCACCTCCCTTGTTAATAACGAAACAATAATATTATTCAGAAAAATAATAGCTGTGTTCTACATTTGGAGCTAGGAAGCCAATACACAGGTGTACTCCAAATTATTTCATGTTTTATGTTCTTGTTAACATCTTAACTAGAATCAGCTTTACCCTACAATGAATCTTGAAATGTTACTGTTATATGACTTTACAGAGCAATATTTAAAATGTTCTTCTATGTGTGATATTGCCTGCTCCAGGACTCCAGGTGGGTTGAATGCAAGAAATAGACAGAATGTTAAGTGATACTTTTTATGGAAATCAGAAATTGCAAGCTGTCAGTCATTCTCACTGTTTCCCAGTAAAACTAGTCGACAGAATAATGATTCAGGGTCTGTGTGTAGTTTCCTGATTGTCCATCCTGGAGCAGGTTTATTAATAATCTTCAATGCAAATATCACCGGACCCCTCCAGTATCCAATAAAGCAATGTGTGTTATTTTGTCACAGCTCAGTAGCTTTCAGTGCAGCTCCTGTTAATTTTTAGTTTTTCACTTAGAAGCCTGGAACTGAGCTTTGCAGCTTTGGGGAAGTCAGTTTATTGTCTTTAACCATCTACAGTATAAGAGCTCCTCACGGCTGTATATCATTCAGATTAGCATTATCTGCTCCCAGTATTATAGAGCCCCTGTTGGCTCATAGCCCCATTTCAATTATATGTATTGTGTTTACAGAATTAGAACAGTTAATTTAATAATAGTTTCTGCTCTCAAGCATGAAAGAGCACTGTTTCCTTCTTTATGTCATTTGACATCACTTTTAAATAAAGGCCTTGGCATTATCACTGTGTTCATTGGCCCCAGCTGTCAGTCCAGCATGTGGTGTGGTCAAGTAACGCAGTCGAAAATCGTAATTGTTTATAAAATTAAATTAATGTATTGAGGAAGCCAAATGCTTGAAAGCAGAGGTATTGGTCATAAATTCAAGTAAAAAAACTATCTTCAGGACTAGTTGATGTTGCAATTTTACACAGCCATGTCACACTCTTAGCAAAATCTTCACACACTTTGGAACCTTGCGGACTTTCCTCTTGTGACTTCTTGAATAGATTAGAATAGATTTTATTTCCTCTAAAATGAAGAATAAACCTTTAGAATTGCTTCAGTAAGGTATTGATCTATTGTGTTAGGTCTTTGGCTTCACACAGAAGAACGTCTAGTGGTGATCAGTGACATGACTGTCTCACATTTCGAAACATCCCTCCACACACATGACCTTCCTCACTCATGGATTGGGGTGTGTAGTGACTCGTGTGATGCACATACTCACTTTGTAAATCTCACGCAATCAGCATCCCATGTGAAACTTGCTGTCTGGAAAAGTGGTACAGACACTAAACAGAAGAGCAAAGGGCCTGTAAATTATCTACTCTATTATTCTGTGAGGTTATAGAAGAGAATTGTAGGTTTGTGAAATCTGTGTTGCAAGTTTCAGGTTCTCATTGTTTTTTAAGCCTTTTTTACAGCTACTGTTACATTTCCCAGAAAGTTTATAGTTCAGAAGGCAGCAGCCATGCTTCCTGTAACTCACATCTGGCAACCCACTGAAGCTCAGCAGGTGTGAGCCTGGGCAGTACCTGGATGGGAGACCTCCTGGGAAAAGAATAAGGTTGTCACTGGAAGGGATATTAGTGGAGTCAGCAGGGGGAGCTCACCCTGTGGTCTGCGTGGGTCCCAATATAGTGACGGGGACACTATACTGTAAAAAGGAGCCGTCCTCCTGAGGTCCTGACTCTATCTAGTCATTAAAAATCCCAGGGCGTTTCTCGAAAAGAGTAGGGGTGTTACCCCGGCGTTCTGGCCAATCATGGCCTCCTAATCATCCCCATCTATGAACTGACTTCATCACTCTGTTCTCCTCCCCACTAGTAGCTGATGTGTGGTGAGTGTTCTGGCGCACTATGGCTACCGTCACATCACATCATCCAGGTGGGGCTGCACATTGGTGGCAGTGGAGGGGAGTCCCCTTTACCTGTAAAGTGCTTTGAATGGAGTGTCCATAAATGCGCTATATAAGTGTACGTAATAATAATAAGGAAGAGCAGAAAACAAAACTTGCACATTGTGTTACAGAGATCCTTTTAATATGAGGGAAAATGAAATGTTCTGTGTTGGTTGCAAATTCTCTTTTTCTAGCTGTACTTGTCTGTCAGGGGCCTAACTGCAAGCTTTGGTTTGCCTTGTTTTTCAGTACACCAGAGTGTGGATTCCAGATCCTGAAGATGTCTGGAAGCCAGCTGAAATCACCAAAGACTACAAGGAGGGGGACCGGGTCATGCATCTCAAACTCGAAGATGAAACGGTAGTGTGCATCAGTAATGTTTCTGATCAGGAACACAGTAAATTCTACACTGAAATAGGGAAAAGTGCATGGTTTTTAGTATATGGTGAAAAGAATGTGGCCCGTATTTCACTGACAGAACAATCCGAACACAAGTGCCCCCTTCCTGTCCTCACGATGGGCAGTGCTCATTGTGGCACAGCCTTCTCTGACTTGTGCGCTTAATGAACCCCGTCACTTTCATTAAAGAGGAAATTACTCCCATGACTGCGCATGACGCAGCAGGCTGACCTGAGGGCTCCGAGTCTGTCTCATCAAGGGTCACCAGGTAACGAGTTTCAGAAATGGGGCTTCACAGCCCTCAGTGAAGGATGAGGAGGTCTAGCAGTGAGTTTTTAATCTGATGCTTCCCGGAAAAGACCTTCAGTTAGTTTCAAAGATTTCAGCCTTACACCTGACTATCTTGTGAGGAAAAAGAAAAATGACATATGTAGGTTTCCTGAAATATTTTTCAACCGTGAAAGCAATGAGTTATGGAATTGGTTGGAAAGTGAAGTCACTTCTTTTTTCCTCCACTGACCTGAGCCGTGAGGAGCTGTCTTTCAAACCTGGTTTTCTCCTGTCTCTTTCTCAGACGCTGGAGTATCCCATCAACCCCAAGGACAACCAGCTGCCTTTCCTGCGAAACCCAGACATCCTGGTGGGGGAGAACGACCTGACGGCCCTCAGCTACCTCCACGAGCCCGCCGTCCTGCACAACCTGAAGGTGCGCTTCCTGGAGTCCAACCATATCTACACCTACTGCGGTGAGTGACCCCTGTTAGTTACGGCTTCTCCCGAACGAGACGCACTTCACTGGTCTGTTCCAAACACCCACAGTGCTTTGAGCCCTTTCCATTTACAGTCCTGCACAGTCACACTTCGCACTGTTTTCTCAGGCCCTTGCTTTCCTGTTGATCGCTTCACTGCCCTAACAATACATCACAAAGGCATGGCTGTCTAGCTGGTCAATCAGAAGACTTCGTTGCAATACCTTATCAAGCACAGAAGGTTAAGGGTGACCACCTTTTTAGAAAATCAGTAAGCGAGGTTAAGGAATAGCTGTTGTGGAATCATTCCTTTAAAATATTTGGTGGGAATTTTCTGTTACAAAAGATATTTTTTCTATGCAGCTAATTTGACCCTCCCTCACCTGTTTAATGTCTTCCCTTGAGTTAATTGTGGTTCCTTGCACAGAGATTTACCTTTTCCTCACCGCAGTGGATCTGACACGTCGCACCTGGGTATGACTGGCCCAGAAGGCATGACTAGCACATAACATAGAAAAGTGGAAATGAAAGCAGAGCAGCCTTTCCAATCCCTCCTTAGTAGTTTCTGTAATTCACCAGGCATGAAATAGTGCGAAAACACTATGTGAGCAGCGAGTCAGTGCAGTTAAATAAAACAGGCCTTGCAAATCCTGTAAACTGGGACTGTTGACTGCAGTCTGCTTGCTCATGTGCTAATTGACCTTAAACATCTCAGAGATCTGAGAGCGCAATTTGTTGTAAAGCACTGCTTGGCGATGGGTCAAATACACATGTACTCCTGAGGACAGCTGTGTAGTTAGGCTACGCTGGGCAGCAAGCAGATGAACAAGATTACAGACGTGCATGTTTGTGCAGTCTGTTCTGTCATGGCACTGTACCACTGTGCCAGTGTATTTTACAGATCTGCAAGGTGTTCCAGGTGACCTCATCATTTTGACGTCCAGAGGTTTTCTGTATATTCTTAGAAAACCCATCTATGTGATCCATCTTGATATCTTAATTCTTATTATTAAAAGTTGTATCACATACAGTATGTTGAAATGAAAACACGTAAGATTTGGAGCTCCGTGAACTATTAAGCCTTCACCCATCGGTGAAATTCAGCAAAGCCAAAAAAGAATCCTGAAAAAGAAACATCTTTCTGTGGTTTTACACTAGCAGAGGCTGTCAGGAGGTATTTGTGCCTGTCTTATAGAGCTGTCAGAAAGCCTTAACCTCCAGGGGATATTCAGGCGTGTTGACACTGGCACACCATGATGTACAGTAGGTTCAGTACATTGGAAAGACTGAAATGGGTCAAGATTTCATCAAAGAAAATCCAACTTCTGTGTTCTATTCACTGAGTGTTTTGATAAGTCAGAGTCACTCACTGTGTGACCTTAAAGGCAACTCATTTCTGCCCCAGAGGGACTGCTCAAGCTCAAGCCATGCAGATTTTATCCAAATTATTTATTTAGTAACAGTAAATATTAATGATAAAGTTACATTATATAAAAAGTAATGTCGTTATAAACATCAACTGTAAAAGTGCTGTAAACTGGAATGTAAAGTGTGGCTGTCAAACAAATAAGGGGATCCACCATAAATCAAGTTCAGTATATTATCCAGTGAATAAAAAATACAATGTGAGATAGTTTGCCAGGAATTGTTCCCTGTGACTGAAGCCTTGATTCAAGGCATTCTGGAGAGGTGCTGTTCCCATGGGCACTGCATGTGGGAAGGTGCAGTTCTGATGTCTGTGGCTAGGTGGTGCCACCAAAGGGCCGGAGAGAGGAGAACAAACTATACAGGATGCACTGAGGAAAAGGAACAATAAAAAGGTCAGTTGGAGATGAGCAGAGAGGATGATGGGAGAATATGAGTAGGAGGCATGGGCAAGACACTTGTATTTGATGTGGGCAGAGATGGGCAGCCAGTACAGAGTTTGCTGTATGAGCACCAGAGCTGTGAGCTACTGTACAGCTGTAAATGCAGAGTTGGTCATAAATGGAGAATGATGACCGTAGCCAAAACCAGATGCTGGAACAGGAGCCAGGGATAAAAACATAGGCCTGATTCCTTTGTAAGAGACAGTTTATCACTGTGGTGAGGTTCGGAGGTACAGAGGAAAGGACGTGAGGCAGCAGCAGGAAACACTTTAAAGTAGAGGCAGATTCCTTCTCAGGTTGGAACGTGAGTGCTGACCCAGATGCAGAAGGAACATGGAGGCCAAGGCTCTCTGGCCGGCCCAGGACCGTCAGCCCCAGTAGGGACTGGAGCTGCAAACACTGCAGTGTGTTGCACAATGAAATACTGTACAGATGTTTCAGGCCAGCCCAAGCTTGCATCTGTACAGCAATTGTGCCCCAGCACCTACAGTATGTGCTGAAGTATTTTAGTTTCCAAAGATGCCCAAGTTTGAGATTTGTAGGCATAGATGAGACATGCTAACATGTAACGCTACACAGGTAGGTTTGGCACTTTGCTCATGGACATCTCATCACAGGAAAAATGAGCGTGATAGATTTCTGATGACACAAAATATAATTTGAATTCTTTGGGTTTATTGAGAATTGTGATTTCCTGAAATGATTTTAAGCACTATATTAACTTGGAATTTCAATGTTTATGTTCTTTACGTAGATTTCAGAATTAATTTCCATCTATTATCAGAAACCTTCTTGTTCCTGGCAAGGGCAGAGGCCACACAGGGCTTACCCCAGAACCACAAGACAGTGCTACTTCCCAGTGGGAATGTCAGGATGTAACACACCATGACGACGGGGACAGCCCGTTCAGCCTACCCACCATGTCTCTGTGATGTGGACGAACCCCAGAGCCCCAGGAGAAAGCCCACTCAGACATAGAGAGGGCTCCCCACTCTGGAACCAAATCCAGAACACAAGAGTTCTCCCACCTGTTTCCTAATGCATCTGCAGATCACCATAAACACCATCATGAAGATGAAGAATTTGTGAAACTGTATTTTATTTTGTGAGTATATTCACAATAAAAGAAGGTACCCACTCCCTTCCTCCCTACACTGACCAACTCAGTTATGAATAGGAATGCATCTTATGGGATTAAACTTGAAATGAAGACAGAACAGTGTTTTAGCCTGTGCTATGAAATAATATAATCTCTCCAAAACTGGGTTAATCTTGCTTTGTCTGTCTGGCTATTGGGAGCTGCCTGCTGTGGACGACGTCATTTGGATTTCGGCTGGCTTAGCGCAGGGTACCTCAGGAAATACCAGTTTGCCCAGAAGCCAGTTAACCTACCAGCATGTCTTTAGAATGTGAGCAGAAACTGGATCACCTGGAGGAAACCCACACCAACATGGGGAGAACATACGAAAGCCAGGCAGATAGTACCCGAGGTCCAGACTGAACCCAGGGCCCCAGCACTGCGAAGCAGCAATGCTATCCACTGCTCCACTGTGCCTTCCTCCTGTGCACTTCTCCTCTGCCTGATTTGTTATATCTTGTGTTTTTGTGGCACAAGGATAGTTTAAGAGAAGCTGTTTCTTTATCTTTTCAGTGTTAGAAGTGTGTTAAAAATAGTCGTGCATTCCCTCTCTTTGTTTGTTTTTCAACTTCGGGGGTGGTTTAGCCATCTCCATAGCAACACATCCCCATGTTTTGAGTGTAGATGGTTTAATTTCAAAGTTCAGCTAATTATAACACATTCTTCTGTCTTTTTACAAGTCTAAAAAAAAAACATACCTTCATTTTACCTCAATGAATTAGTACACTTTCACATCTAGTGTTTACATTTTCAGTCTCTGAGGATGCTGGTCTCTGATCTAGTCTAAGGGCTGTGCTGTACTACCGCAGGGCAAAGGAAAATCCCTCAGGCGTCTTTAAATCCTAAAACATACCCTACTTCTACACATCTGATATTTCTCATGCATAACATGCGTTTTTTCAAACTGTTTGGGCTTTGTATTTTTGTCTTTTGTTCCATACCATTTCAGAATGCATTTTAAAAAGCAACAGGAACATTGATTAATATTGTAAAACGGTGGAATGTGTCGTTTGAAGAGCCTCTGTACTTAATAAACTATTCGAATATGCTTAACAAGCATGGGCGATGGAACATCTGTTGCAAGGAGCGCTTGAAGAATGAAAACAAGGCCTTACAGGAATTGACCTTCAAAAGCCACTTCTCTGATTTGCACTTCAAATTTCTCAGCTCGGTCTCAGGCAAGCAAGATTGGATTTTAGATGCAGCACACCAGGTTTATGAGATGGAAAGCTCCTGTAATGAACTCTACTCACCAGCAGTGCACTTCATTTGTTCTTTGGCTTTAAAGTTCACATCTGAAAAACCATGACAGTACTCGCTCTGCTCTGCTGAACGGAAACATTATTTCTAAGATTTTGCTGTTATGTACTGTAATTTTGGAAACCTATAATGTATATGTAGAGGCTCTCATATTACCTTAATGGCTACCTACAGTAGGCCCAGTAAAGATTGTGTTGCTGATCGAGCTCTGTGACATTTATGGGAGAATGGATATTACCTGAATGATTTGCAGTCTGAAACCATTTTGTTAATTAATCTGCAGTTTGTAGCAGAGGGGTGGCCAGCTCATTAATTACTCTAATAGGATGATTGACAGGTGGTTGCTTGTTGCTTTGCTTCGGTTTTGATTAAATAGTTCTGTCATGGTTGGAGGATTTAATAAGACAACCGATGGAATAATTTATGGATAAAATTCCTTAATAAGGATCCTGAGTTCCTATTGATAATGGTACTTGGTGATCAGAGAGGATTGATCTATTCACAAAATCCAGCACAGCGTAACATCCCATGGGAGCAGTTAATTCCATTGAGGATACGTGATCCAAAGCTTGGCATTACCTGGTTACATCTGTGATCTTTGTTTCTTGTTCTCAGGGATTGTTCTTGTTGCCATAAACCCTTATGAGCAGATGCCCATCTATGGAGACGATGTGATCTACGCCTACAGCGGCCAGAACATGGGTGACATGGACCCCCACATCTTCGCGGTGGCAGAAGAGGCTTACAAGCAGATGGCTAGGTAAGCAGGGGCTTCTCCTGGGTCCAGTTCCTCACGCCTGGAGCTCATTAGCAAAAGGATGGCCTCAGCCACAGGAAGGCCGTGGGACAAAAGTAACTCGCTTTTTTGTTAAGTTTAGGATGACCATTTCCACCCACCACCCAAGCCAGTCTAGCTACCTGTCTGGTCATGACATCTCAGCTCTCAGCTGTGATCCCTGTAGCCTGACGCAGGTGATTGGACACTATACTGTAAACAGGCGCCGTCCTTCGGATGAGACATAAAACCGAGGTCCTGACTCCCTGTGGTCATTAAAAACCCCAGGGCGTTTCTCGAAAAGAGTAGGGGTGTAACAATAAGGAAGTGTAAAAATCCCACCCACCCTCGTTCCAGCCAATCACTTTTTAACACACGCCACAGGAGGAGCAGCCCCGTACAGGAGGTTCAGGCTGATTGGAGGAGAGGTGTGTCTGTCACTGAGAGCTCTGGGAAAGTGCAAGCACTGAGGAAGCCACTGTGGCAATGTGTCACTGACAGAGCCCTGGTTGACTAAAGGCCCCCTACCTTCAGCGAGGGCATTCGAAAATTAACTCACTTTTACCAGAGTCAGAGAACGGACACCAGCGCTATCCCCTGCAGATCTGCCTTGTGAACGGTGAAAGCTTGCTCTGGGTTCCTGTCTTTTTTGCAGAATTTTCTATATATTTATTTGTATTTCATAGGGCGGCATGGTAGCACAGTGGTTAGCATTGCTGATTCTCAGCGCTGGGGCAGTGGGAGCGGGGTCTATTCCAGACCTGGGGTATTATCTGCATGGGGTTTGTGTGTTCTCTCTGTTTTTCGTGTCTGATCTGTAGTTCATGACCGTGACTGAAAGATATACTGGATTATTGTGATCACAGTCTGGAACAGAATCATCTGGGTTGCCTCTTCTCACCATGAAATCCCAGGAGCCTTAATGTTGTATAGCATTTGGATTGGAAAGAGATAACAATGCACTAAGATTCAGGGCTGGATTTCATTAGCTATTATAGCAGAGAGATTTTTAGGCAAGGCTTTGACAGCCACTATGAGCTGTATCTTTTGGCACCCTGTATCCAGTATGTAGTGTCATAAATCTTGTAACACTGGCTTTCATCCAGCTTTTTGGCAGCAGCTATACTCGAGCAGCTACTTACTATTAGTCTTCACAACAAGATTTTCAACTGATTTTGATCATATTTGCTGATTATTTAAAAAACTTAAGAATTATATTTAAAGGATATGCATCCTTTCAACAGCATTGCACAGAAGTGTGCCGCAATATCATGTACTTAAAAAAATCCTTATAGCGGGAACTGTAATGTGATTTGAATCTCTAACTTGTTTAAAATGCTGAAGTCGTTTCTGTCATTATTGTAACAGAAACAGTGGGCTCCCGGTGTTGAACATAGTTACAGTAGGTGCTCTGTGCCGAGAACCATATTTATGAATTATTTCCTGTCGACTCAGTTTTAGTGCTCTGTGCCACCGAGACGGGTGTGTTTATAGTGCAGTTGTTACAATGATACTTTCTCATGTGGGAGAGGTTAATAGGTTGTGAACAGCACTTTAATTTTATTCGAAACCCTTAAATCATTTGCTTTTCCGGCGAATAGCAATGCTGCACTACTCCAGTGAGCCGTTTTTAAAGCCACCTCTTGCTTTAAAAAGGCAATAATTCAAAGTTTCTTTACAGTGTAGTGTGTAGCATCAGGGTTGTATTGGCAAAGCATTTTTAAAATTATAACAGATTACGTCTGGCAAGATAATGAATGAAAATGTTGCATTTTCAGGCAGGTGAAAATAATAAAGTTTTTAGCCAACAAGGGGTATAGTTGTGATAGTGAATTGAGAGATTGTTTGGAAAAGGAGCAATTTGGAGTTATTTAGCTGATAAAAAAGGACTGTGAATTCTTTTACTAAGGCTTTTGAGAGCCCAAAGGATGCACAGTGCTTCTTTATCAAGAAAGGAAGACCGTTCTGTGGAAACCTCTGATCTTTAGCAGGCTTAGGGCTTAGATCATGGAGGTGAGGAAGTGCTGTGGAGCAGGTCTAAAAGAAACCGTGAGGCAAAATTTCACAGCAATTCATAACTAATCTCAGCGACTGGTTTAAGATGATGATGTGAGTGCCTAACATAAACATTTATTTTTTAAGATCAACTTTATAATGCTGTATTTTCAGTTATTTGTATTCAGTTTCTTTTAAAATAAAGATGGTAGCAAAGAATAACAATTCTAATTAGCTGTCACACACTCATGAGCTGGGGGTATAAAAAATAATATCTTTATTAACTGTGTCTTGAGCTGGGACAGTTTTGATCTGGAACAGAAAGCAGAGTAAAATTTCTTTTTAAGTGGAACATTTTCTGGTTTGGGTTACATTTCTTTGTATGTATAGAAGCAGCCCCTGAAATTAGTTAGCACTTTAGTTGAAGGAATGGTTGTGCCAGGTGTATTACAGTGTGGTGCAATAACCCCTCTGGTGTTTTTAAATAGTAACACGAAAAACAGAGTTAAACAGATAGCATGCTAAAATTGATTGAATTTGAGCACCTGTCCACTGAACTTTTAAAACACTGGCCTTTCCAAATGAAGCCATTTGGTGCTTGCGGAGTTTGCACATGCAACCCAGGCAGAAGGTAATACTTTCATGCTCTTGGCTCTCTTGTCTGGCACACAGCTACACACCCTTTTAAGTTTGTACAACAAGTTTAGTAACATTCTTTTCAAGGCTTTGACTAGATGTATAATATGACTTTTGAATAGATGTATATACACGAATCCTGTCACTTTGCAATCTCTGTGAAGAGAAACGTGTCACAATTAAATTAAAGCAGTTAAACTGAAGGATTGTTCAGGTCTGTATCAAGGGATGTGATGTTATTCAGTGATTTCTCTTGACAATTAATCAGTCCTTGACAGTAGGAAGCCCTGATTTTACAAAGAGAGCAGTTTCATTTTCAGAACCACTAGCCTGACTCAGGTGTAAGTAATGATGATTATGATATTAATAACATTAATAAGAAGAAGAGAAAATAAAAGTATCATTTTTTATATTTAAACGTAAAAGGTTTCTTAATCATTCACAGCTAAAGTAAAGCCCTGCCTGTACAAGGATACATAGTTATGAAAAAAGGTGTATTCTCTGTGTATTGTATTGTATCTCTAAAAAAAAATCAGGGACTAAGAAATGCCATTTATGACATTTGGAAAGTGTGTTGCACCTACATCTAATTTCGATTGGATTAAAAAAGGTTGCAGATGGTTACACCATGCCCCATCGCAATGAAAGAGTGTACGAGGCAGATTAAAATGACAGTACTGATCTCCATCATCCACGTTTTCTTGGGGAAAAAGAAAATCACCTGTGAAACTGTCAGAAGTGTCAGTAGACACAACATTCTTCTACATTCTGATTGGCTGCCCTGCATTTTTCTGTTTAGGACTAGACCAGGTTAGCATAGCCTCACTGTTCCTCCGAGTCTTTGGTTTGCTTTATAGTCTACAGATTTGCAGAAGAACTATTATTTCCAAGATTTGATAGAACCACTTAAGCAGCCCTTAAAAGGTTGTACTGTAGAGAATTGAGTTTAGTTAAACTAAAAGCTCAAGTGCTTACTTCAATATTTGTGATGAATCTGGTCAGTAATCTGTGTGTGTGCTTTGATTTAATATCAGATGCCTCTGTATCTTTCGGTTTGAGCCAGGAATGCTTTCCAGCAGAAGCTGTGTCACTCTCAGTGGGTGCCGTTTCTGTGACTGCATGCATTTGAAATCACGCCTGGGTACGGGCTGGCACTGTGCCGGCCGCCTCCAGGCTTATTCAGAGATTACTCCTGAAAGATGAAGAAAGGGAAGTGAATATTGATTCAGAGACCCTGGAAATCCATATCCAGGATCAGGTCCAATTTTGGCTTAATCCAGGTGAGGACAGATAAAGAATGTGAGGATTAGTTTCAGAATTTAATTGCATTCTATCATTGTACCTACATGTCCCTAAGCAGTGAGAGACAATTCTTCATCTCGCGGAAACTGTACGCTGAACCACAGGTTTGACAGAGTTTGTTTTGTTCTGTCCCCTCACATACTGCTTGTCAAGTTAGTCCCAAGTCCCCAGGTATTTCTCAGCTCTCCAGGAACGTCACAGGTCTGTCCTGGTTGATCTAAGACACTAGTTCCCAATCAGGGTCCTGGTGAGCCACACACCGGTTGGATTTTGTTACAGTGAAGCCCTCAGTTCCGCAATCAAACCTTCCGTTGACTTAACAATATGAAGGGTTTAATAATATCTTTCTTTCCAGTTCTTAAACATGTTGAAGCTTTAACTGTTGTATTTTATAAGTTAATTAAAATCCCAAACTTGTGACTAGAAATAAAATGCAAATACGTTATTGAAGCAACTTTTCAGATCAGCTGAGGCTGCAGTAATCTGATACAGTTGGGATGGAATGAAAATCCGCAGGTGTGTGGGTCCCAGGATCAGGACTGGGAATCACTCATCTAGAGTTGATCCCAGGCTGGCTCTTTCGAGTCTCGAGGGAAATGCCCCGAAGGGTTTGTTGTTTGTGCAGTGTTGTGGCATTTTTACTCTGTGTCTGATGCAGAAAAGCAGCTGTGTGCCTGTGTGGTGGGCGAGGCCGGCGTGCTGCCCTGAAGCCACACCTGCAGCAGGTGTCAGATTGAGGACCGAGGGAGATGGTGACTGAGAGGAGCAGGACAAGGAAACACTGCCAGATAAACCGAGACAGCTCAGATTTCTCATTAAATGGATGTGAGTGTTGTGTATGATATGTGGCTGCTGGTCTCTAGCATCCTCATCTGATCCCTTTATCCAGAATAGAAAGTGATGTCCCCGGAGTCCCATAAGGTTCCTTGCCATTCCTCCGCCCTTTCAAGCATTTATGCTGGTCTGTTTGTCATATTCTGGGCACTGCTGTGTAGCTCGGGCAATAACTCAGGCTCTTCAAGCAATCATTACAATGATCTTGAAACCTATGTCCTCCTAGTCTGCCTTTCACATTACTGTGATCGTAAAGGGTGTGATAGAAAAATTCCTGAAACTAAATAGTCCTCCTAATGGCTGCTCACCTTCTCTCTTACATGCAGTGTTCCTGCATTGTACTCTGAGCTTGCCGTAGAGGTCTGTGCTAAATCTTCAGTCTCCACAGCCCAGGTTTGAACCTTACAACAAGCTTACAATGAAACATTTTGTCAGACTTTTTAAAAACCACAATACTGGATGGTGATAAAAGATTTTAACTTAAAGGCTGATTTATATTTAAAGCAGGTCCTCTTGTCCTCTTTTTACCGACTTCTTCTGTATGTCTGTCAGACCCAGTTCTAGAAGTTTCAGTTTTCAGAATAGTACAATCTAGTAACTAGTTTTAATAAAATATTTGCTACATTTGTTCTTTCTCTGTACATACTGTAATGCACTTGAATTAATTGGTTGGTGCACTTTATACAAGGGCTAAGGGGAAACAGATTCTTTTTTACTCCATTGGGTTTATATTTTTTCTGGCTTATTCAGTCCAGATACTGTAGGAACTGGATAATCAGGCTGCAGAGGCAGATGCTGGAGAACGAAACAGGAGCAACAGATGACATGTCACATCAGCTTTTTCTTAGCTGGCAGGACAGCAGATGTCCTTGCAGTCTCTCAGATCAGAAGGGGAATGACCTCAGGCTCTAGGGGACTGAAGACAGACGAGCGTCACATCTCTGGAGTAACAGCTCGATTAATTCCTTCGTGCTGAGAACCAGATGATAGGGCTACAACGCTGAACACGAGGCAGACGCGGCTATTGAAACAGTCCAGCAGGCATCCTTTCAGGCACAGGTGATGCTGCCAAGATGCTGGACACAAGTCCTCCCTGCAGGAGCGTCTTAGACCTCCCCTGTCTTAGGCCTAGAAGATCATCGAATAATGTCCCTTGCATTGTGGCCAAATGTATTTCCAGACGGGTTACTCAAAAACCATGACCCCTGCAGCTCAGCCCCCAAATTACCACAGTTCACGGATGCGGAAAAAGGCAAGTTTTGTTCGCGGGAGAATGAAATCAGCCTTTCAGTGTAAGCCAGGCTGGCGTGTGCTGTAATGTGGATGGCCACGTTTGATATTGACTGAGAGAATCATCATAATAGTTTTATAGAGCTGTTTCCACTTGCACTGTTGTTAAAGAAGGGTTTAAGCAAATTCCTTCCTGGTCAGTCTCACAGAGAGCCAGTGGACATCATCTTCATATTAAAGGGCAATAAAAGAGGTGATGTTTGCACACCAATAAAAAGGGAGAGGGAGAAAAAGCAGAGTGTTGCTCTCTCAGCTGTCCCGGGGACAGTTAAGGAAAAGTCAGAAATCCCGTGTTCTGGCTCCTACAGTACATGCTCAACATGTAGTTATGAAGTCGGTAATAACCATGTCACTTCACATCTGCTGGAAACTGTTTCCACTTCATCACTTGCGAACCTGTGATGAAGCTTTGCTTTCCACAAAACGTGGGGGCATAAAAAAACCAGAAGTGGGGAAAAGCCTTTTCCGGGAAAGAGCTGTGGCCCGGTCCGAGTCCCCTGTTGTTGCTGCTGTCCGGCATGTTCGCAGGACACACAGGCCTGCACGGCCTCCTGCACAGCTCTTCCTGACCAGTCGGAAGGGTTCAGTGTGATGGTACTCCAGTCCCATGTGCTTTTTTCTCCATTGCGACAAAGACCTCAGACGTAGAGGTACAGTATACACTCCTTGCCTCGCATAACAAGAGAACCTGCAACGGCTGAATTAGTCAAATGCTTTGACTCCATTCGCTTCCGAAATTCTCCCTATTCATTGCTGTAGAAAAAACAACACTAATGTAGGTTTTGCTCCCTATAGATAATCTGAGGAGACTCGGGAATGAAGGGATTGTCACAGCAGATGCTCACAACAGTGAGAAGTATAACATGGACAGAAATGTTTCTCTTATAAACTCTTTAATACATGTGCCATTCCCTTGCCTGACTGGCCCATGTTTAATATATGAAGGTGCCTGCTGCCAGAGATCTTATCCTCCTCAAACCTGTTCTGGCATCTCAAGGGGGGTTTGTTTTTAGAAGCATCATCTGTCTAGCCAAGGTTTGCCTTGGAAGTATTATTACAGCTTGTGAGATGATGCCAACACTTGATTACTTTCATATCACTCCGGTACCCATCCTGAGTGATCTTTCTTCTGGAAGAGCAGCTCCTCTTCCTGGATACAGCTGAGCAAGGCGTTGATGTCTCTGCACGCAGGGCTCTGTCCTGTGTCTGTGCTGATTGCGTGTCCTTCTTAGATTAAGAAACAAACCTGTTGAGTCTCCACTTCCCGACTTTTCATAAATTTAATGCAGAAAAACAATGACTTTTGGTGGCTAAAATTGTGAAACCTTCTTGATGGATCAGTGTTCTGTACAGTATAGGCATATCCCTTTAAGGCCAAGGATGTTATCCTTTTTTTGATGATTCCAGAACAGCATTCTTCTTTGTTGTAGCATGGGTTCCCGCAGTTAACACAGTATTCTAAATACCGAGGTAAACAGCAAGGTTTACCCAAAATGTTGTATATTTTTGATGGAATTTTCCTTGACTTGAATTTTATATTTTACACATATAGTTAGTATTTTGGGGAGATTTTGGTTAATTAAGTGTTCTGAGATGGAATGTTCTAGAACGCCTCTCTTGTTAATTTTTTGCTCCTGTCCTGTCTCCTGGCCCTTGCTGTGAAGAGGCTGACTGTCTCGCCTCTCCTCCTGTAGCTGCAGAATTCCATTAGTGAGAAGGAGAAGTGTGAGTGGGGAGTTGAGGGCAAGGCTGAGTGACAGACATGGCCTTCTCCGAAGAGACAGGAGCATGTGAATTACATGAGTCGGTTCCTTTAAGAGTCTTCTCCCAGGTATCTAGGAATTTGAAAATGTTTTTGAAACGCCATATGTCTTCATGCATATTTCATCTAGCGATTACCTCTTGAGACATTTAATTTGCACTTGTTTTCTGGATTCATTTAATAATTTTGAGAATGAGGGAAGTTTAGCATCTCACTCTTTGGCAAGTTTGTTTTTTGCAGAAAGTTAACTGCTGCACAATTGCAGGCAAGACTATATCTGATCATCTCCTAATCTGAATCTAAAGAATAAAACAGGCTCAATGTTGACCATGCCTAGAACCTGTATAATTACAAGGTAGAATTGTATGAATGTAATGTTTTCATTAGTTCATTATGTAGTACTATTTATCCTAAAAGATCTAAAACCTTCTACAAGTTGTTTCAAAGACATCAACAGTTGAACTTGCGATGCAGAGACATATTGAACGGGTGTCAAACTGTTCTTAAAAGGAATTAATAGAATGCAAAGATAATAGTAAGTTAACTACTATTATTTAGTAAAGTAACTTTAAAGTAAGTAAAGCAAGGAAAGCTGGATACTAACTTAATGCATTGGTCAAATCTTTAGCATTTGAAAGCACTCATTTCTGTATATCTTTCACATTCTATCAGACACTTTTTTCTTGTGATACATTTGTATGCATGTAATGCAGTGATCTTTGCTGTAATGCACATCGTGTCCTGTGCTAGTTCAGCTCTCAGCAGCACACTTGAACATAGGCATGGAGTCAGTAGTTTGCACATGTTTCTGCAGGTGATGAGACCGTTATAAACATGTTGTGTAATTTCTCTGACCTTTCTCTGATAATGGCTAAAAACGCTAATCACTCATGCATGTAAAACTAATGCACTCATAGAGCAGAATTCTTGTACTTTGAAGAGGGGGAAAAGCTCTTTAATGGCCTGTATTTGCAGTTTGAAATCGGTGCCCTTGCTTCGTCTCATGAAATGTAAGCGTGTTTATACCTTCGTTATGAGTAATTTAATTTAGCGCGTTTCTTTTTTTTGGATAAAGCAAAAGCCTTTTCTGGTTTCATAAATACTCTTTATTCTGTTACCTCCCATTTTAAATTTGTTGTGTCTTGACTGCTTTAAATATTTTCTGGACCCTTTAGAAATAATGTATCAAAACATATCCAGAAAACAGGATATGGATATATCTCTATCCAGGATTGAGGAAATACTGGTGCGACAGTACATGCAGGACTGGTATTGCCCCATGCCAGCTTTAATGTCTCTTTCACATGCTGTTCCTGTCTGCTGGCACAATCCTCTTGCACGATCATGTGCAGAGGAGCGTTGTGTCCTATTGCCTTGAGCTCTGGGTTCCTGTGGATGGATCCAACACTTGTATAAAGGAAGGCGCTCCGAAGTACTGTGACAGTCTTGTGCATGGTCTTGCCTTGACTGTTATCCTCTAACTGCATGGATACCTCTCCCTGTTGTTTCAGAGATGAGAAGAACCAGTCCATCATTGTGAGTGGAGAGTCAGGGGCAGGGAAGACCGTGTCTGCCAAGTACGCCATGCGATACTTTGCCACTGTGGGCGGGTCAGCCAGCGACACCAATGTGGAAGAGAAGGTGCTTGCCTCCAGCCCAATCATGGAGGTAAGGACTCTGTAGTGCAGAACCTGTGGTAGTCTGGAACAAGCTGCCCCAGCCATGTGATTGAAGATGATGCCCTGGCTTCTTTCAAAACACGGCTGGAATAGATACTTGAATACATTATCTACTAACTACCCCACAGGCTAGATAAGCCAAATGGCCTCCTCTCGTTTGTAACCTTTCTGATGTGCTGAACTTGGAGAAAACGTTCACAACATTATGGGTGGTCAATGCATTAGCACCTGGAAGGTAATAAATTATCTAACACTCAAAAAGCTCTCTAAAATGTCAATACCAGTGGCCATTTTTTTCTAATAATACACTGCATGGTTCCCCAAAGACTTGTCCTTGATTGTGATGGGACAGTGTGCATAGAAACAAAAAGTTTCAATACTCACACAAACTTGGCAGAACCAAACGATAATTTCCTTATTCTTTAACACATTAATATCCCTTTCAAGAAAAAGAAAACAGGAATTAGCTAAAGTTTGTGGGGGAAAAAATGCTTCCTTTGTGTGTAGACTTAAACCTTGGCAACCTTTGCATTATTATGCAGTATTACTTGACATCTTTCTTGATTGATAAAGTGGAGAAAATGAACATGAAACAAATAAATATCCATTCCTACATTTTTACTCCCCTTTCATTTTTTCCTTGCCAGC